CCACCCAACTAAAAAAAACACGCAAAGCCTTGATTACATTTTACTAAAGAAGATATATGAATAGCTAATAAGCACATGAAAAGACATTCAAAATCATTAGTCATTTTGGAAATGCAAATTACAACCATATTGGCATACCACTTCATAACCACTAGAACGTCTATAGTCAAGTCAGACAATAAGGGTGTGGAGAAATTGGAACTTTATATATTTCTGAGTGGAATGTAAAATGGAAATCTGCTTTGGAAAGCAGGTTTTCAGTTTCCCAAAAAATTAAACATACCTAAATGTCCAGTCGTGGGTGAATGGATAAACAAAATGTGGTTTTTACATACACTGTAATGTTATTCAACCTTAGAAAGGTATGAAATTCTGACACATGCTACAATATGAGCGAAACTTGAAGACTTTAAGTGAAATAAGGCACAAAAAGACAAATTTCGTATGATTCCAGTTAAATTAGTCAAATTCATAGAAAGGTTGAATACTGTTTACCAGGGGCTGGTGGGGGGTGGAGGGGAAGAATGGGGAGTTATTGTTTAATGGGTATGGAATTTCTGTTTGAAATGATGTAAATGGATAGTGGTGATGATCATATAATAATTTGAATTTAGTTAACATCAGTAAAGGGTACACTTAAAATTGGTTGAAATGGTAAATGCTATGCTTTGTATATTTTATCATAAAAATATAAAAATGTTGGGGCACCTGGGTGGCTCAGTTGGTTAAGCGTCTGCCTTTGGCTCGGGTCATGATTCCAGGGTCCTGAGATTGAGCCCCGTGTTGGGCTCCCCGCTCAGCAGGGAGTCTGCTTCCCCCTCTTGCTCTACCCTGCCCTCCATTTGTGCTTTCTCTCTTACTCATTCTCTCTCAAACAAAATCTTTTTTTTAAAAAATACATATAAATGTTAAATAAATTACCTATGACTTTGCAATTCCACTTCCTGGTATTTACCCAAGAGAAATGAAAATACATATCCAAAGACTTTTACACAAATATCCATGGAACCAATACTGACAATAAGCAAAAATAGAAAAAACCCACTGTTCCTCAACTGACAAATAGAATGTGAGGTATATCTATACCTGTCTGTTTCTCTCTCTAGATAGATCTCTCTATATATGCACATGTGTATATATACACACACATATATATACACAATCATATATATACATACATATATACATCTATATGTATACATGTACATGAAATATACATACACTCTTCAGCAATAAAATGGAATAGGACCCTCAAAAATGCTAAGGGAAAAGCCAGGATCAAAACACAATATACTGTATAAATTAACTTGTAAATGTATTGAGACCAAAGCTAGATGATTGGTTGACTAAGGTGGGGGGTGGGGGTGGGGGGGGGGGGGTACTAATATATACTGCAATAGTTATAAGGGATCTTTTTGGGGTGGTAGAAATGCTTTAAAAGTGAATCATGGTGATGGTTGCACAGCTCAGTAAAGTTATTAAAATTCACTGAGTTGCACACTTAAAAGGATGGATTTTATGATATGTAAATTATAACCCACAACGCTGTTTAAAAATAATTTTCCCACTGTCAGGTATGTAACTCCCACTGACTTTTTAAAGTAATAGCTTTATTAAAATATAATTCACATATGACACAATCATCTATTTAAAGGGTACAATTCAGTGGTTTAATGGTTTTTATTATATTTATAGTTTTGCAACCATTGCATCAATTTTAGAACTTTTTCATCAGCTTCCACCAAAATCCCATACCCATTAGCAGTCACTGCCCCTGTCCCCTACAACCACCCTAGCTCTAGGCAACCACTGATCTACTTTCTGTCTCTACAGAACTGCCTATTCTGGATATTTCATATTATTAAATAGAATCCTACCATAAATAGCCCATATCAGTACTTCATTCCTTTTTATGGATAAGTAATATTCCATTGTATGAATATGGCACATTTTATTTATCCATTCATCAGTTGGTCATTTGTGTTGTTCCCACTTTTTGGTTATTATGAATAAATGCTGTTTTGAACATCTGTGTACCAGTTTTTGAGTAGACATATTTCATATCTCTTAGGTATATAACCTAGGAGTGAAACTGTTGGGTCATATGGTAACTCTATGTTTAACTTTTTGAGGAATTTCCAGACGGTGTTCCAAAATGGCTGCCAAAATTTTACATTCCCACCAAAAGTGTATGAAGGTTCCAATTTCTCCACATCCTGTCTCACACTTCTTCTTAAGTCTCTTTAATTATAGCCATCCTAGTGGGAATAAAGTGGTCTCTCACTGTGGTTTTGATTTGCATTTTCCTCATGGCTAACGGCATTGACCATCTTTTCATATGCTTATTGGCCATTTGTGTATCTTCTTTGGAGAAATGTCTATTCAGATCTTTGCTCATTTTTAAATTGTTCCATTTGTCTTTTTAAGGTTGAGTTGTAAGAGTTCTTTATTCTAGATACAAGTCTCTTATCAGATATATGATTTGAAATATTCTTTCCCATCATGTAAGTTGTTTCTTCACTTTCTTGATGGTGTCCTTTGTGGCAAAAAAGTTTTTAATTTTGATCAAGTCCAGTTTATATATATATTTTTGTTACTTCTGTTTTTGGTGTCATATTGAATAAACCACTGCCTAATTCAAGGTCATAAAAATTTAAACCTATGTTTTCTTCTCCCAGTTTTTATAGTTGTAGGTCTTTGATCCCTTTTGAATTAATTTTTGTATATGTATGAGGCAGGGGCCACTGACTTAAGACAGGCACAAGGGCAGGGTTTCAGAGAACCGAGAGTCAAATAAATAAAGCCATCCAACCTCTAGGGTGATGGTTCTGGAGAAAGTCCAGACTACCTGAAAAACTCATGTTTGCACATAGCCATCTTTTAATTCCTGTAGCAAACTATTCATTCTAACACACTTTCTCTGAAGAAGGGGAGCAGGTATGGACATAATGTGGCACAGAAAGGAGGAAGCATTTTGTTTGGGGATCACAGGAACCCAGTGGTAGTAGGATGGCTGACGTGTAGGCCTCAGTTCCATTCTGTGGTAGGAATACCTCATTGTCTACTTTCTCATCTCTATTTTGGTCTGAGTCGTACTGGGAACACAGCCTACTAACCAGACATATTTCTCAACCTCCCTGCAGCTAGGTGTGGTCATGTGACTGATTTTAGCTAGTCGAGTACAAGAAAAAGTGATCTACTTCTAGGTCATATCTTCAAACAACAAAAAAAATCACTTGCCCTCCACCACTCCCAATTTTTCCCACCACCCCGCACCCTTTTCTTTGGCAGTACAGATCTGAGAAATGATGCTAGCAAGCTATTTTTGATCATGTAGATGAAGAAAATATACCAGGACAGTTGGTCTCAGTGATGTTGAATATTAGAATCCCCTGGGGAGCTTTAATAAAAAACTGGTTTTTGAATCCCATCACAGAAATTCCAGAGATCTGTTTTTTAATTTTTTTTAAGATTTATTTATTTATTTGAGAGACAGAGAGAGAGAGAGCAAGTGAGCAGGGGGAGGGGCAGAGGGAAAGAATCTCAAGCAGACTCCAGGCTGAGCTTGAGTCTCATGACTCTGAGATCATGACCTGAGCCGAAATCAAGAGTTGTATGCTTAACGAACTGAGCCACCCAGGTGTCCCACCACCACAGAAATTCTAATGCAATTGGTATGAGATGCCACCTAGGCATCAGGGTGTTAAAAGCTCTCCAGATGAATCTCACGTGTGGCCAAGGGTAAGACCTCTATTCCAGGGCAATGGTTTGTCAACTTTAGCATGCTTCAGCATCAACTGAAGAGCCTATCAAAACACAATTTCCCAGGTGTCTGATTCAGTGAAACCTGAGAATGTGCATTTTTAACATGTTCCCAGGTGATGCTACTGTGCTGGTCCAGGGACATACTTTAAGAAACTGTAGGAGAGGGGGGTGGGGGGATGGGTTAGCCTGGTGATGGGCATTAAAGAGGGCACATATTGAATGGAGCACTGGGTGTTATATGCAAACAATGAATCATGGAACACTACATCAAAAACTAATGATGTAATGAATGGTGACTAACATAATGAAAGGAAAGAAAGAAAAGAAAGAAAGAAAGAAAGAAAGAAAGAAAGAAAGAAAGAAAGAAAGAAAGAAAGAAACTGTAGATCTCACAGCAGTGAGATAGAAGGAACCTGAGCCTCAGTAGCCCGACCTTGTCTACCCTATACTATTACTTAGACGAGAAATAAATCTATCTTGAACTGCAACAGCATCTTAGCCTATATCCTAACTAACACACATTGCTTGGATCACGGTATTCCAACAGGAAAAGTAAAGGTATAAAAAATTTTTCTCATTTCATGCAAACTCACACACGCAATTTAAGCCCCCTCGGCTTTAGAGATATTTTCCTACAAAAGAAGGATGACTTGGAACACTGCACTGTTTACAACAGAATCCATTTCTCATGATAATTGGTGAACACAATCCACAGTGTTCTGCTTTGGCAGCATTATTTAGGCATTGAGGGGATTATGACCCAAGTAGGTGTTCAGTCACTCTTCCCGTTTAAGTCCCAGCCATAGGTGGGTAACCCAAGGCTTTCAATGCAAATCCACTTGGATCAAAACCGTAGCAACAATTCTGAATGATGGAGAAAGCTTTTCTAAATAGCACAAAGGGTATGGATCCATTTCTCCCCTCTTCACACACTAATACAAAAGGGACTTAAAGTGCTCCAGGCACTCTTCACTTAATTTTTGGGAGGAGACCTTGGGTATTCCTGACACCAACCTGAGTCACCAATGGGGCTTAAGCATTTATTGGGCAAAGGGTGAAGCTGATAGGAGGTCTTCTCCTGAGAAAGAAGATTAAGTCCCAAACTCTCTGTGGTAAAACTCTCTGCTGATGTTTAATAATTTCCTGAAAACTGTTAGTATTAAAAGGGGGTGGGTAGGTGGGATTGGATGGCCACAGAGTAGAAACTAAGAGATAAAAGGAAGGAGCTTCTGTACCTTACAAACTGGCTGAATAAGGCTGTTGTGTTCCGGATGATCCGAGCAGCCTGTGACTCCTCGCGTTGGCATCTCTGCAGGGTTAACCCGTCATCCATGTGGCCTTCCTGATGGAGTATGACCTACCCACAGAGGAAAGGACACCAGGTCCAGTTACATGCTACTCCATAGCTGGATAGTCAACATTTCTAGCAGTATTTCCCTCATCCCTTGTATTCCTTCTCCCCAACCAAGTTCCCTTGTATCCACTTGAAAATGGGACATTAACAAAGTTATTTTGCCTGTACTCCCTATTACTGACCTATGAATCATTCCTGAGACACAGTGCTTTGATGAAAGTAAAATTTTATGTGCCCCTGCGGTATGAGTTACAGTAAATTCCTTAGGCTTAGATGGCCAATTTGAAAAGGTGAAAACATATTTTGTAATAAATTTTTCTCTTGAAATGAACACAAATCCTTACCCTTGGAAATGGGAAAAGTCATTTTGTTCAGAGCCTTTTCCTCCAGAGATAAATGGAGGAAGAAAAGCAAGTTATAGAAAAACTCTCTACTGGGATCAGGCTTGGATTCCTCCCTGAAGGACAGCTACTGTTGGCCATAGAACCGGGGAAGCAACTCAACGTAGTAGTTGCTTCTCATGGAGGCTAAGAAGGGCATTTGAAGGCACAGACTCTGGTAGTAGTTGGCGTGGGTTCTAGTCCTACTCTGCTACTTCCCAGGTGTGTGACCTCAAGTAAGTTTTTTAACTTCTCTTGGGTTCAACTTCACCATCAAATGGACTTCTAGGGTCGTTTCGAGGATTAAATGATTTACATGCAAATCACTTAGCATGTTTCCTAGAATCTAGGAAGTCCTCAGTGAATATTTGTTATAAGGGGCAGTATATTACTGATCTCAAATCAGTTATCTAAAAGCTAAGTATACGTACTGATCACCAGTGACATCAAGATACAATTTTTGGGCAGGGTTACCGGCTTTGAATATGGAGGTTAGTGATTTTTTCCCTTGAAAGGGTCAACTGTATGCGGATATTAACTGGGATGGTTTGAGTCTGGTTCAAGTCAGACTTAAATTCTGATTCAAGTTCCTGACATGGTTTCCTCTTGAGGTGAGTTAAGTGAAGAGAGACCATTTGTAGGTCCTGGGATCTGGGGTGATGTCAATTAAATACCACAAGTGGCTCCAGCAAATATCTTGAGAAAAAGGGTTTTGGGGCTCTCTCATTTTTAGCTCAAAGAAACTTCTTTTCCTTTCCATGTAAAAATCTCTTCCTTATTATTTATTCTTCTGAAACTGTGTCCTAACACAATGAGTTCACACGTGAAGTAGAATACTGGCTTGCAAAAATTTATATTCAGTTTTGACAAATGACCTTGCATCCCATCTACATCCTGTAGCTTAAGTGTTAGCCAAGGATACTCCTAGTACTGGATTCACCAACTGTTTCAGGACCACTCCGTGAGAACTGCCCAGCAACCGTTTAACAACGGTGCACTGAGATTTGGCAATACATTGCCACTAGGTTGGCTCTGGTCCCAGTCCCAGTATTCGGGTCCCTAAAGACTAAAATCCTTAGATTTTGCTTGTTCAGGTAACACATTCAAAATGGCCAGCCAAACGAGAAAGTAAGGAGAAATAGGGGGGATGCAGCTGTTAGAACATGGTTATTATGTGCCCTATTGATTGCTGCAGCCCACTTCTTTTTCTCTTGGAGGATTCCCATAATTCAAGAGAAGACAGCAAAAGCCCACGACGGGAATGGCAAAATCCTGCCTTTAAAGTGAGTTGCCTTTAGGTTTTTCAGTGTCTATCTTCCATCAGTTTTTCTAGGTTCCTGTTTTGTTTTATAAAATGCTTAACACAGATCTGAACATCCTTTGTATTTTTAGAAAGAAACTTAACCTGCTCCTCACAAAATAGAGCAGGGCAGCCCTGTCAGGGGTCGAACATCATGACATCATTTAGAGAGTTTCTGAAAGGACCTTCCAGATTCACATGCACACTGCCGCAGTTAAAGGAATATACAGACTATGGTCCTGGAGGAGAAAGGCAGGGATGGGCAGGAGAAGTCAGCAACACGAGGTGGGATCTCTCCTCGTTGACAGGGTCATTTTAGTGTGTCTCCTCCCAAGAGGAGAGCCAAGATCCACAAATTCCACCTTTTTAAATATCATCATTATCTTAGTAGGTATGGAAAATTGTGGAGATTCTAGATGATACTATTGTACTCTACAGAGGATTTAATTTTCTTCTTATAGGCTGGTAGGATAGATGGGTTTTTGGCATCTATCTTTAAGTTGCCCTTATTTCCAGGGGTAGTTCATACTCCTGGGGTAGAGCCCTTTTGGAATTTCATTGAAAGCCTACTGTATTTTCAAAGGCTGTTCCAACTTGAGGGACCCTAAACCCCAACCTTGGCCTTCCTAGGATTGTCATGCCTTTGACATCTCCGCTTTGCTCTTCTCCATCAGAGAAGCACTGTATGCTGTTTGCTATCCTTGCTTCACAGCCCACCCATGGTCAGCTTAAGGGGAAACTGCATGTATAATTTCAGTTTCATGTTTCTACAGTTCCCTCTGCTCTAGAACCTTGGCCCTGTAAGTCCCAGAAACCCTGGCTGACCTTATCTCTCATCTGTCACTCCAGCCCAATGAAGCTAACACAAGACCCCATTCCTTGGTGCTGCAACTCGGCCAATATGCGGAAGGGCAAGTAGAGACCAGGGTGTGGCTCACTTAGTGCATTCACCTTCTATCTGGGATCTTTAGCACTCCTGTCCTGGATGTCCTGGTTGTTGAAGCCTTCAAATGATTTTGTTTTGGGTTTGGGTTTTTTGTTTTTATATTTTATCCAGCCTTGATAATTGTTCGTAGAGTAAGGAATTGGGCCATATAGTCAGTGTAGTTGTTATTTACTTTTTTTCCCCTCTCTCTTCATAATTTCAGTTTCCCATTTCTGGATACTTTCCTGGTATGTTTTACTTTACACAAAAGCAAGCTAGCACCTTATGGTTTGTTCCCAAGCTCCCTACTTACAACCACCAGCATCCTGAACTTTCCATCACCTCCATATTAGGCTGCTAAACCCAAGCTACAGTGTACAATGGCTCCTAGAACCCTCTTCTAGGGTTCCTTGACTACCCAAACGGGTGTTTTGTAAGGCTTTTTCCAAGGAAAATCATGCCCCTGGCATCTATTTTCTGGTTCCTATCAAAAGAAACACTACTATAGTAACTTTCTGGTAAAAAGATGTGGTGTGTACCTACGTCAGTTTCCCACTGCAGCAGGCTGGGATGGACCACTCAAATTGGTGTGTGCTCTCTGTGGACATCGCATCAACGCACAATATCTCATCTTTCTGCACGTTGGTTCCTGTGGGCTTGTTATCATGCAATCTGCATTTTCTCTAGCAATTCTATTTAGTCTCTATATTATGAAAATCACACAGTAACTCAATTATCCACTTAAATGGAGAGAGGAATGGTGTAAATAATCCCCAAACAGCATACCACCAAAAGTTATTTAGTTCAGGTTTTAGGGTGCATTGAACAAATTCTGCCCCCTCCTCACAGATTTGCCATGTATTTAACTTTTTTTTTTTTTGCTCTGAATATGGGGTTACAATAACCAATTAGGCAGTACAATCTGTCACAGGATAACTCTTCAGAATAGCAAAAATAGTGAGAAGTAAACATACATCATGTTCGCCTAATTCTCATAATCACTTTTCTTGCCTAGTTGCTTCCAGTTCAGGGTAATACAATTCCGGACAGCCTTTCTGACCCCCACCTTTCTTTTCAGAGGTCCAAGGCGGGAGGTCTTGGCATCTTGTGCTTTGTAGGTCACCCACAGACCACTGGCTATGTGTTGTACAAAGCAGACCGAATCTCCATACTTGATTTCTGGAACGCCCATGCCTTCTATATCTCGCTTGTGACTGGAATCCAATTTCTCCTTGGTTTCCTATTTCACAGAAAATGAGACAAACATGGGCATGTCTGATTAAATAGAAATGCAATACAGAGAACAAATCACCTATGCAGAATTTGTAAGCTCCGGTATCCATTACCAGAATCTTCATGATGTGCCTGTCCAAGCCAGGACTTCAGAAAGGCTTGCTTCCCTTATCTGCTGTTAACCGTAAAAATCAATGGATTCCAAGTTTCAGCCACTTTAATAATTACTTAAATCCATGGGGAAAGGAGGCAGCTGGTAGGGTCTCTTTTTGGTTCTGACTGTATATAGTTCTCTGTTACATTTTCTATTTTTCTCATCCTGACTTAGATCCTTTAATAATAATGAACACTTTAGTGGTCAATTAACTTATTTTCAGCAAGTTGTATCTTCTGTAATTTTACTGGTTATCTAAACTCACTGATGCAAGGCTTTAAACATGTCTGTTAACATCACATAAACATCTTTAACAGAAATCAGCAGAGAGAGCAGACTTGTGAATCAGGTAGGGGCCACTGTGCCAGAAGTGAGATGTACTCACCAGTGTCCCTGTCTCTCACAGCCTCCTCACTTGTGTGTTGCAGCCAATGGCTTTCATTCTTCAATTGCTACTATTTCACTACATCTTTTCTCCAGTCTGGAAAAAGGAGTTGCTGCGCATCCGGGGTGTCTGTTTGGGGACAAGCTGAGGTGCCCGGCACAGAATGAGTCAGGAGGCCGACCCAGGGTGCATGGTAACCCTGTCCCCTCCTCATCAGTCAGGGCCTCTGAATGGTTTGACTCCACTTTCATTCCTCCTCTACATCTTGCATGGAATTGCTCATTTGTAAAAGCCATTAGCTGGACAGCATTTTGAGCTTTTTACGGAATAAAAAATGCAACCTGCTGTTCCCTCTGCCTGTGACCATTTTACTCTCCTTCTTGATGATGGAACAGCAGCAGGTGCACTGAGCTCTTACTGCGTGCGAGGCGGTGTTCTAAGTTCTTTACATGAGTCAACTCTTCCTAACAGCTTTGGGTGCAGCTGCAAATACTATCCCAGTTTTTCAGGGGAGAAAATGAAGATACAGAGAGATGAGCAATTTGCCTGAGGTCACCCAAGAAGTTGTGAAAGAGCTAAGATTTCAACCGGGAAGTCCAGCTCCAGAGACTCTGTTCTTCCCCACTGCTCTGAACTCCTATTCACCCTTCAACACCCTGTTCGGATGCCCCCTTCTCTGTGAGGGCACAGTAGTCCCTCCCACTGTACTTCCCCAGCACACTCTTATTACTTCACTGGGCACTTAGCACTATATTATAGTGTAAATGTGCTTGTTTATAGGACACTTTCCTTGTGTCAGACTTCAAAAGAATCAAGGGCACGGGCCAGATTTCAATTACTTTTGGATTCCTGGTACAGAGAATCCAGTGCCTTTCAATTACTTAATAAACATATATATACATATATATATATATATATATATGTATAGCTAAGTAATTTTTTTCTTTCAAATATATATTTTCATTTCAGTTCTGATTTATTTTCCTTCAAAACAGTAAAATTAGTTATTCTGTGCACATTTACAGGATCATCTTAGGCAATGTTAATACTTCACAAGAAAATTCTTATTTTCAATGTATGTTGAAACATTGGCTTGATTTTTAAATATGAGATTTCTCAAAATTAACATTTCTAAAGGAACTTATCTTTGATTTTATAACAAAAGCCAATGGGAAAATAGAATTTGATATATTAGGTCTTCTTTAGAGGCAGGTGGTCAAGAATGCATTGATTTCACAGAACAATGGATACTTGATTTTCATTCCAGAAATATCTATAGTCCTGAAGATACTTAGGCCAGTAACAGGATTTAAAATATGCCAAAGTTCTCTCCTCCAGCCTGTTCTCTAAACCATAGACAATGCAGCAAAAGAAAACACACTGCAACTGTTAAATATGAATAATGACACGGAATGCCAAGAGCTCACAGTTAAAATAGTGCATGTTCCCAAACTATCAATGACTACACTCCATTTATTTTCTCAATTTTGTTTATTTAAATATGACTTGGCCAGAAGAAGAGAAATAGTAGGATCTATTTCTCTAGAGCCTGAAATCAATGGATCATGACTGTTTATAGAATGGAGTGTCTCTTGGTGTCTTTGCTTTTACAAAACAGCATGCACTCCCAAAGCTCTATGGTGGTCACTGCAGTGGCCACTTCTAATTTAAAAGAATAGAAGCAACAACAAAAGAAACTAAGACATGGAGATGAAACAACTAAAGCCAACTCAACCCAAATCTAAACACACCAAGGATATACTAAGGAAATGAGAGTGGTCCATGACAGAGAAGTCTGATTGGGCACATGGCAGGTTGGTGATCTTCTGACTTCTGAGCACGAATGCTCCCTTCTCTGTGTTCACTTGAATATGGCCCCATATGTACTTGCTCTACTGCTGGAAATGGACTCCTCCTAAATGATAGGGTTAATCCAATACTCCCTTCCATTAACTCCCAATTCCTAGAAGATACAATTTTCATTTCTAAAGTTCATATATACCATATGCTTTAACCAAATTGGACTATGTTCCTTTGATATATCAAGGTTCCCTTCCTCTGGGCCTTTACCCACATTACACTTTCTGCTTAGAAATCCCCTATTTCAGGGGCGCCTGGGTGGCTCAGATGGTTAAGTGTCTGCCTTCGGCTCAGGTCGTGATCCCGGGGTCCTGGATCGAGTCCCGCATTGGGCTCCCTGCTGGGTGGGGAGCCTGCTTCTCCCTCTGCCTCTGCCTCTCTCTCTCTCTGACTCTCATGAATAAATGAATAAAACATTAAAAAAAAAAGAAATCCCCTATTTCAACTCTGCATCTTTACATCTTATCCATCAAGCCTTTCCCAGATCCACCTTTGCATTTTCCCTGATCTCGTAGCACTTCCCTTCTCCTCCCTCAAGGCTCTTTACCATCTTCTGTGATAGGCCTCCCTTGCTGGCATGCTTCCTGTCCGCTACCAGACTGAAAACTCTCCAAGGATAAGACTGGGATTTGCTTGTCTTTACTTAAAATAGGTTGCAAATAATCTGCTTTTGTTTTATTGTTCTGTGGACATCAATTTGTTTATCTCTGTCAACATTCTCTATGTTAGATGATGAGCGGATTCTAAGGAGGAATAGGATACTTGGTATTGAAGGATAATCATCATCATCTCCTGTCTCCATGGAGAACTTATGAAATGGTCCTGACCACATCACAAGTGTTAAATAAATATCTGGTTTAGATGATTAAGTTGCTGCTCTCCAGAGTGATTTAAGATTTCTAGGAGGACAAGGAAAGGAACTGCAACTAGTGTTTTTCTAGTGCTTACTTAGAGCAAAGTATTTCGCTAAGTACTCTACAATGGCAATACCATCAGTGAATTTACCAAGGATCTACAAAGTGATATGTATTATGCATGACACTTTAAGAACATTTTCTCTCAACCTTTTAATGGTCCTTCTGTTTTCATTTCTCTTACTCTATAGGTGATAAAGCTGAGGCTTGCAGAATTTGAGTAATTTGCTCAAAGTCCTGTAGCTAAGTAATGGAACAGAATCCAAAATCAAATAGAATTCCAAAGCCCATTTGTCATTTGAACATAATTTTTTGAATGGTTATCATTAGCAAAGTATTAATTGTATTAATGTTTCAGTTGTTTAAGAGGTATTATAAAGAAGAAAAGGCTGACAGGTTGAAAACATATGCAATTATTTTATGAAAAAATGGCTCTGGGCTCATATAAACTTTAGGGTCATACATATAAACCAGTAATGATAGCAAGGTGACATAGTCTACATTCAAGGTGCAACTGGAGTTTGGGAGAGAGAAGACCTCATTGTGCCTGAGAGTTAGGGATGATTTTATATAAGACAGATACTTGATGTGAGCTTGGCTGGGAGTGAGAAGTGAGAAAGGAAAGAAGGAAGAGGACTTGGTTCTAGTAAGACGGGCTTTGTGTGGCAAGGAGAAAGCTTGAAGTCCAGGAAGGGACTTGAACAAAAAGGCCTCCGAACTTTGTACTATAGGTACATGTTTCTCAAACTCACAACATTAACAGACTTTCTCCTGGAAAAGAGGACTTCGGACAAGTTCTTTATCTTCTTCCAGGAGTCAAAGGAAACATTAGGGCTTATATAAGACGGATTGTTAGGAGTCCTACAATAAAAAGCAAACAACAGAAAAAAATAAAACCTGTTGAATTCTGCATAACGCAGCAAGTGCAGCCAAATTGCTTTTTCTAAAAAAAAACAATTCATAAAATTATCGTTTGGAATACCTCTTGGGAAAAGCTAGCGTTGGCAATGGAAAGCCCCTGAGAATTTTAAGCAGGGTGCTAACACAGGGCTGCATCTTAGAATAATTGTTCCAGCAGCAGTGTGAATTATAGATTGAAAAGAAACAAGGCTAGAGACAGCTGATTTTTAAGCTATGCCATCAGTACCTAGCATATCTGGAACGGAGAAGCTCCTAATTCATGTTTATTAATTAGAATGAAATCTGTTATTTGACATATTGAAACTGCCTGTGTCCACAGAGGACAACAAAGTACCTTTCCAACACACTGTAAGCACCCAAAAATGTTTCAGGGGGAAAATGAGACCCATTCATGGATGCTGGGGTAAGCCATCAAGAAAGGCCTGGTTAGTCTGCCCCTTCCTAGGTGTATCTGCAGAAACCTTGAGAAACAACCTTTGGGTTTACTTCTCCACATATATAGTCCTTTTCTAAATTTCTAATCTAGAATAGGAGGTCTTAGAATGTTCTTAAATAAATCACACACTGCAGGACATTGCGAGGATCCTGGCTGGGTGGGAGGCCAAGGAAAGGCCCCTGCTATTCGCTGTGTGCTGGGGGACCAGACTCATCTGCATTAGGGAAGGCGCACTTCTCCAGCGGGCTCTTCCCTCCATCTTTCTCCTTCAATTCCTACACCATCGGGATGAGGTAGGCAGCGCTACTGCCATTTCATGGATAAGGAGACACACTCC